TTACTCGGTGTCTGTCCTTACCCCCTTTCCGTTCTTAGCAATCATTACATTACTTGGTGGCAAAAGACAAGGAAATTGAGAAAGGACCTTAAACTGGTCCCCCTCAGATTGGAGCATTCACAATTTGTTTATTTATTACACCCATATAGCTGACTCCTGAGATCTTGCCATCCTATTTTCCTTCTATTATCGATTCCTGGTTGATTTGTGGTTAAACAAGGGAAATAATAAAAACATGCATTCTCTCTCTCTCTGACCCTCTCTCTCTTCTACACTGCTTTGCAGACAGAGCAGACAGTTAGTGAGTAATGAAAAAGAGACTACAAAAATGTGTGGCTTAATCCTGAATCTTAGCAGAAGAGACATTAAGTGAATTATTGCTTTATGCTGTTAGCAAGCTGTGACTGAATCAGAATCACTTTCTTTCTGCTTAGATCCAGGGATATTTACTCTGGATTCTACAGAAACTGAAGCTACATCTCTGGCCTTGTTATACCAATACACTGTGTTGTGTTCATGTTTTTTGGGGGTGTGGCCTATCTTTCATCACAATTGCACTCAGGGGCTGATGGCACTTATCATCTGTATGTCCTTGGGCCTGGGGATGGCAGGGGCTGGGGAGAGAGAGAAGCATTCAAAGAAATTATCCAGATGGTCATGTTAAGTTTCTGAGTTCAGGCTATTAGATTTATACCCCTTTGATTGTGCAGTTAAACTTTCTACAATTTCATAGACCCTTATTAAGAATTCTATAAAATCATCATTTGGAGAAGTTTTCAGAACTGTCTGTGAGTGGTAGCCTTTCAGGTCCTCCTAGAGACAAAGGGGAAACTTTAATTGAACTTGTCTGGGGCTAAAGACCATCTCTCTATTAATCCCATAGAAATGGTTCAAACATAAAAGCAGGTTCAGTCTATTACAGCTGCTAAGCCAGAGCCCTCCAGATGTCTTGGACTACCTCTCCAGCCATCCTCGGCCAATTTTCCCCTTTTCTTTTGGGTTGGTGATGTCTGTTTTCAGAACACATAATAAAATATGAATACTAAAGAAACAGGCTGGATGCTTCTGTCTTCTGGGAATGCCTTTCTTGGCCCAAACCCCCCTGCAGCCAGAAGAGAAACAGCCGCATGCTGCAGCCATCTGGGCCTTCTTTGCCAGCAAAAGGTTTCTAAGAAAAAGGCTCTACTTTTGTGGCCACCTGTGGGATTCTTTTAGAAATAAGCAAGCTAAATGGCTCCCCCTGGAGGAGAGAAAGCAGATGCGATGGGGCCATCCAAATCCAGGCAGAATTCCTGCCTCTCTTAAGAAAAGAGACCTCGTTTT